ACACAGCGGTAAACGCTTAGATTCTTTGTACACAGCATCCAGCATCTCCACATGCATAGCTACAACTCCTGGTATCATTTGGTGTAGCGACTTGATGTGTTCCTCTATAGGAAAGAAAAGAAAATTTTAGGTGTGAGACATATACTGGTAAAACTGAACACTACTATTAGATTCAACTCATACAACACTGACCCTTGGAGGAGGGGAATATATTATTCCTACTCTGTCATTACTGCTTCCTTAATTTTACTTTTTTTTTTTTTTTTTTTTTTTTTTTTTTTTTTTTTTTTTTTTTTTTTTTTTTTTTTTTTTTTACAAAGATTCTTTACAGTTTCACACTTTAAAGGTGTTTCTACTCAATATGAAGGAATGCCAGTGAACACCAACAATGCATGCTGCTGTACACAAAACCATCAGGTCACAAATGAGTGGTATGTCTACCATAACTTAACCCATCCATCCCGGGTGTCACTTAATTTGGGCTACAAAATGTACCCCGGCGTGACTGGGTTAAACTGCAACATCACATCAACACTGAACCATTAGAACATATTAGTCCTCCATTACTATCTGTTAGTTGTTTATACATATATCCTCTCCATTTCTTACCTGTCACACCACCTTCCGTGCATACTTTGTCAACAAATCTTGCCACAAAGCGCACTACGCTGGCTTCACGGTCACTCTGTTCTTGGTCTTCAAAGCCGGACTCAGCATCTAAACTATCACTCTCTGCCATGCTAAAATACATATAAGGAAAACATAAATATCAAAACAAAACTGGTAATCAACACAGCATAAAGACCTTTACAGACTAAAACAAAAAATCTGTTATCTACACTATTTCCAGCTATACTAACCTCTGTAAACAATGGCTGTCTAACTGCATCCACAAGAAACAGGAATTCTAGTAACCCTACCTGTTTACATTACATCGAATTTACAAAACTTAAATGTTTTGAATCATTTAACTGCAAATACTGATGTTTCAAACTCAGTAATGTACACATAAAAAGAATCCAGTTTTTAATTTTATAATTGGAAAACTTTATATTGGGATCTTATATGAAGAATTACATAAGCAAAAGATAACAATAAACTTTAAAAAGCACTCAACATAGGTAACCTAATATATATGGCATTTCAAAAAATAAAACTTCTAGTCAGAAACTATAAAAGTAAGCTACTTGCCTATTTGTAATACTGTTACTGGCAGTGTCACGTTCGTTGAAGGTACGTCTATGTGTGGCTGCATTAACATCTATGGGAACTCTAAGGAACACCATCCTATTTGCATAATGGATTGCCTGAGAGTATAGAGTGGACTCCTCTTGTTCCACTATTTCCCGTTGTTTTCCTGCAAGGAATTAAAAGAAATAAGCTTCTCTAACTCTATTCCATCATTATGTTGAACTACTGGGAAAAAAATTACTTCATAAGAGGTATGTAAAATAAGCATATGACTTACTTGTTTCAATATTAGGCCAGAGCCTCATCTGCTCTGCTGCAATTTCTAAAGCTGAGGACTCATGTGGTCTGAGAAAGGACAATCTGGACTCCTTCCAAGAACCAGAATCTGAGGGCTGTTAAGAGAAACTAGTGAATTACCTGTGAAACATAACAAAGTAGTGCTTAGTCCCAAAATTAATGGAAGCAGTGCACCAAAGATTATCAAATACCCCACAATAATAACATGCAAAATTCTCATAAATATATCTCCATATATCACTAATCAAAATGTGAAAAGTTCTGTTTTAAGCATGCAGACAAAACAACACAAGAAAAACAAAACACAGACACACACAAACTTACATCTCTTGGGTTCACAGGACTTAACGACGGATCCTTAATACAAGACGAATCAGATGAGAGTGAAGTCCGACTGGCTTGCTGAGATCGATCTTGGTACAAGCTCTTGATCTCCTTCTGAACATCTTGATAAAACGCTGCTTCCCAGAACTGCTGATTGCCCCAAACTGAATGATCCTGAAATTACATTTATACATATTCATACAAAATAAATCTGTAGTTAAATATTAATTTGATAATTCAAAATGGAATACATTGCCATCAGTTTCAATGAAAGCAGATATTAAATGATTCCAATAAACACTTGTTAATGTTAAAAATGCTTTCTTGTATGATTGCATATATCTGAGATATAGCTCCTTCAGTTTTATGAGAATGAGGAAGAGGAGGGGGGAGATGGAGAAAACGGAAAAAGGATTAATTGGAGGGAGATCCAATTAATATTCAAGAACATACCTGTATGCAAGTATAGGCAAACTGTATGACTCCTGTACATAATTTCCGACAGAAGGCTGTGGATAAAGGAAGCAGAGCAGCTGCAACACCATGCTCATCCATTGGAGAATCATCCTGGAACAATGAAAAATAATTAGAAATAACAATGATAATCCCACATCATAAAGTAAATATATTCTCTTATATGACCAAGAATATACACTTAATCTCCAACTTTTCATTTACAATTCTATTTTCAAGTAACTATGGCATGAGATCTTTTTGTGATATATAGAGTTTTATTCAAAACAGTGTTCTCTCATACAAACCTGCAGTGCACAATTCATTAGCCTAACCACTAAATCGAACTGCTGGTGTTCTAAAACAGCTTTATTGCCCTGGACATGGTGACTTAACTCTGTGCACAGAGCCAAGCGAGCTGCTTTACTCTTTAATGCTCTTAATACTGCAGGGAATGTCTTTCTAGCGTCACTTATTTTGTTCTCAAATATGCAGTTCACACAATTCCTCATAACCTGCAAAGAAAGGAGATCAATGAGTATAGCAATGTGAATTGAGTAAAACCAGCACCATTACCCAGCAAGCAAATAGAAATCAAACAAATTCTAAGCCAATGAGATTCCAGTAAATCTATAATATATAGATTATATATAATATAAATATATATATAATATATATATATACATATATACACACACACACACACACACACACACACACACACACACATACACACACATATATACACACAAAATGTATCCAAAAAGACACACACAAACATACAGAACATATATACAAAAATAATAATAACAGAAAAAATCTGATATTACATCCTTTTAAAGAAAACAAGAAAAAAAGACTATCTACAAAATTACCAGCTTTTCCATTACTAACAAATTTTAAAATTCTACTTTCTCATCTATGAATAGCATGGGTAATGCAAATTCATGGAACCAGAGAGGCAAACATATAAATATCAAAATTTAACTAAAGCAGGATATTTGTGTATTGATACATGAAAACTGTCATAGAAACCAACAGTGTATGCCTATGCAATTACCTCTTAATGATAAAAAGGAAGAGCAAAAGATATCTCAAATTATAGCTAATAAACAATAGAGTAAATTTAAGACATATAAAACATACCTCTAATCTTCTTGCAGAACTTGAAACTAATCCTCTGCCAGACTGGAGACTAGAAATATGGGGGCCCATAGGAACAATTCTTGGCTGGCCCACTTTTTGTGGGATTCTGAAAAGTGAAAAATAAGTTTTTATTTGAATTTCAAACAAGACCAAAGTGATTTAATTATTCAGAGCCTATCAGTGCAGTTTAAAAGTGCTCTATGTGTACATGCATGTAAAATTTTGTCACTTAATTAGCAATGAAAAAGCCAAATTTGCAACACATTTTCCAAGTACAGACTAAGAATTCCTGCTTGTACTCAGTACTCACTTCACTTTTTTGGCAGTGCCTTCATCAATGATACTTTGGACCTGCTGAACATCTATATGTGGGAAGACTGGTTGATGGATACGTGTAAATGAACCCTCAGTGGGCTTAGGAATCTTGGCAACAAATGGCTGTGGGTTTGGGTTTTCATTGCTGTACAGCTGCTGACCAAGTTCCTGCAGGGATAAAGAAAAAATGAATGATGCAACAGTAAATACAAGAATCAAGCAGAGTATATGGTAACTTGCACTGTGTCTCTTTAAATCCTATAATGATGGGGCCAGAATTTTTCTGTGACATAATCATAATGCAAAAGTCTAGCCTTTATGGCAATAAGGGATTAAAGATACATTTGATATGGAATGTTTCACATTTTCTTCTCTAATATTAACATATAATAGTATTTAATTCTACAATGGTTAATGATTTCCCTGAAGCATTATAGACTGACACACAGACACTTTCTGTCTCCCTCCATCTCTTGCTCTCTCAGGTGGTCAACCTGATAAAACACCCCATATCCTCTCCATAGGCAAGTCATAAAACAATACTTTTTTATACCATCGTATATTGAGTTGGTGTAATTACATACTACTCACATTATTTTTCAAAATGCATTTGATTTTTCTTACTGTTAACTATATAACACTGTTATTCAAGATAATTTTTTTTTGCACACTTAATAATATCAGTAAATCTTATTAAGCTTTCAATAGTCTTAGACATTGTAAAACTCACAATTATTAATTAAGAAAAACAACTGCTATTGCTTTGGCAATGACTATATTATGGGCTGGAAGCAAAATGTTTTTCTTTTGTTTCTATTGCAGTAGTATATCATACTTTCCTCTGGAGAAGAAAGTACAAGTAAGACTGTGCTCAATAACCATAGCAAACACATTAAACTCTTAAGAATAAAGCCTACAAACTGTTATGAACTTTTCACTGTCCACTTTTGCATTGTTGCTTTTATAACAATTTCTACATTACACCTAGTATAACTCTTCCTTCCTCTCCCTTTCCATTTGCTTTCACTCTCTTTCTTTCTTCCTTCCTACCTTCCTCTCCCTCTCTCTCTGAAAATCTGCATCTGAATGTTAAAAAGGTATGAACGAGAATGAATATCTTCACAGTGACATTGCTTGGCTGGCATCACTTAAATCTTTGCCAGGAATACTCATTCATACCTCTTCTACATTTGTCACAATAAACACTGCACCTGAATATGGACTAGAAGCATTCGACTATCATGTTGCTCCAGACGTAGTTGGTCCCCAATGCCAGAGTAGAGGTCATCCCATAGGTCACAGACTCTCCAGGGGGGGCCTCTCTCTGTGACAAATGTGGTGAAGAACATGCAGTCTAAGACCTTGCCCACAAACTCGTTGTCCACCATTCCACGGTTACCAAGGAAAGATGCCTGCAAGAATATAGATGCAATTACTCATAAAAGAATAAATGAATGACAAAATTTCTGTAAATCTATGGGAGCCTGAAAGTAAAAGATAAAGACATTTCATTTCTTATTTTCTTGGGATAGGTTATTTAACTAAAAGACAATAAACAGCATCTACACATGTCATGATAATGGTGGTCCAAAATCTGAAAGGCACCAATACATATGATAATAATGGAGGCTGTTTTGGGTTCTCTGCATTACATATATAGGTATGAAGTTCCATGGCTCTAGCAACATTGCTTCTGAGACTAGAGCCTTCCTATGATACTTTTACCTAAAAACAATTGAAAGCATGACCAAGATTTACACAAAGGAAAACAACATTCTCCTTGTACTTAGGAGTTCTGGTTTATTCAGGTGACCCTGAAATTAAATGTAGTGCAATAGCCAGAGTTCAAAAATGAGTTGAATACAGAAAATAATTTTAATAATATAAAAATCAGCTAACACACAAACACTACCTCTTATGCAGGTTATTACTATGTGTTTGCAATCATTTGCAGTGTAAAAATACTATTAATAATATTAATATCAATACTAGAAAAAGATTAAATTCAACTTCAGAAACCCTATCAACTCAGTATCCCTCCTCCATACCTTGTGGAAGGTAATGACTGGTTTTGAATGTATCCTGATAATGGTGAGACATGATCGGTAACCCTGTAACAACTCTGCAAACATGCGCATGAACACAGCTCTGATTTCTTTGTCCATCACAATATGCGGAGAGGCCCTGATACCAGCACTTGAGGGAAAGGCATTGTCTGCGGTGCTGAGATCAGGATGAAGCACCTGCATAATAGACAAATGAATAGTAACTTTAAAAGTACAGTAATAGCAACCATCTTCAACCTTTCTTAGATCCAAGAACAGGTTCTTCTAGAATACTCAATTTTCACTAGATATGTTGTCAGACCTTCCTTTCAAAAGTGAATCTTATTTTCTGACTTTGAAGTTCCAACAGAATTAGATAAATAGTTAACACTTCACAAAAAGTAATAGAGCTATTTAAATTTAATATGTAGGTAAATAGAACATAGACAATAAGGAATAGGAAGAAGAAAGGAAAATATACAAAAGAGAAGACAAAAGAGAACAAGAAAAAAATGAAGAATGCCAGGAAAAAAAGAGGAAAAAAGAATGGAGAAAATAGAAAGGAAGAACAAAAAAGAAAAAATGTTGAAAGGAAAGGAGAAGAAAGAGAAAAAAAGAAAGAGAAGAAGAGACTGAATAACAGACCCTGTAAAATCTACCTTTGAGAGAGCAGCGTGGGTCTGGCTCCAGAATGGCTCTGGCAAGAGAGACACCGTCAGACTTTCTGGGACACGGATAGATCCTCCATCAAGATCGGCAACAATTACATCCATCTGTTATTGTGATAGATGAATTGCATTTGAGCAAAATATATGATATATGATAACAATAATAATAAGAAGAAAAAGGGTGTATTGTAACTCCATTTAACTGGAACTATTTAGAATTATACTAAAAATGCTTCCATAGGAAATATTGTGTAATACCTATATGTGTTACGTATCATGCAAAACCCTCAATACTGAGTGGAATTTAGACATGCCTGTTATTGAGTACTGTCTTAATTCTGTTTTCCTTAAAGAGATAATAAGCAAATTATCTCTACCTGTGGACATCAATATGAATACTACTACTGACTGGATATTCTACATATCATACACTGTGAGTTAATATCTCTTATAATGCTTAACTCATGATAAATCCCATCCTATCACTTCATGACTGACCACATTTCACATTGGGATGATGTCCCATGATGCCATGTGGTAGTAGAGCCTACTCTAAAACAGTTGTTTGCTTTCTTGGCTCTGGCTGCCATCACTGAGGAGACAGCCCCTCAAAAGTAGACTTAAAATCACTTTCTTTTACCTCATTACCATTAATGCCACATCCAAGAAGACAGAGAGCTGAGCAAATTCATGTTTCCCATTTATCTAATTTTTCCATTGAGTAACTGAATCCATACGGTATCCTAGCATGGTTTGGTAAAGTACCGAGAGCTCCCATTAGGCCACAAGAATGAAAGTTCCTGCCTTGTCTCCAGGCAAAAATGATAAGTTTTGAGGCATTTTTAATTATTTATTTCTACAAGCATTTAAAGAAGAAAACAACAGCTCTGCAAAGTCATCAAATCATTTCCTTAGTTCTTGCAGGTAATCATGACACTCATTCATATTTACTAGTAAAAGTATTCTCTCTAAAAAACATGATAAGTGAACAGCTTTTCAAAGTAATCAAATCAAATCCTTTTCTTGATCTCTTCTTGTGGGCAATTATCACACTGGTGGTATGTGTCCTCGTTGTCTACCACACCATGGAGGTCCATGCCACATTGCATGCAACACGGTTCATTGTCACATGACACAATATACATGTTGTACAAGTGAGCTGCATGAAAATTATACTGAGCCTGATGCCAAAATGCCACTTCGTAGCCAGCTTGCTGGTGATGGCAGACATGACTGCAGGTGAGGTGCAAGATACATTTATTGTGCAGATTTGATGATGTGGATGCATGGGAGTAAAGCCCTTGTTGCGTTGTGTGATTTTCTTGGGAAACAGCAAGGAACTGTGGGCGGTGGACATAAAAAGAGGAACTTTGATTCTCATGGCCTTAGGAGTGGGCTAACAAAGTCTAGACAGATAAGAAAGTTAAAATAATAATGATAAAAAAACAATCATCTAATCCTTACCAGTTCAACAACATCATGTTGGAGGTGAGAATGAACTCCCATGATGAAGGGTGTTGGAGTGGACAAAACTTCAACCAAAGATGCTGGCAGAATTGGAATGTAGACATGGGAGTACCTGAAGAAGAAAGGTTCACAATAAGAATCTTTTGATACAACGATTATAAGTATAATAAGGACAGAAAGAGTGAATACTAGTAAAGCTAAGGCAAGAAATGTATCAGGAGAATTAATCAAGTATGTTACTTACATCTATTGTGAAACCAAAATGCGAGTTTTTTATATTTACTAAGAAACAAATATTAACCACTTTCTTATATACCAGGACTTACTTGAAGGGATAGAGAAGGGCTTTAAGGGCATGACAGGACTCTGTAAGTCGATTGTAAGATTGACTGTGGAAGAGAATCTTGTGTTCGGTGAGGGCAGCGCAAAACAGCACCAAAACATTCTTGATTCCTAGAAATAAAATAAAGCCTCATGTATATGCAAACTGATTTACTTATGGAACATTATAATTTTTTGTGTCCATAGTCATCATTTCTTTGCTTGCAAGGACTAGCTCTGGAGCCTTACCTAATTGGTTGAAGAGGCTAAGAACAGTAGTACCGGTGACAGGAAGAGTTGGAGAAGCTGGAGGCTGGAGAGCTTGTCTATCTCCTGCACCAATGCTGAACCGAACCTATAGACATATAAAAGGTATAAAACAAATAAAAGTAAATATAAAAACTAACAAACACTTAATACATGAATTCACTTTCAATAGGCACAAATTACAAAGAAAAATATGAAAATGAAACAATGGTAGCCTTTGAATAGCAAATGTAGCACTCACCTGCGGTCCCCCTGGTGGAGGTACCTGAACATAACCCACCATGTTGCCTATCAGCGTCTCCATGCTTACACCTAGCCCTTCCATATACACTGTGTACACAATGCCCATACAATTCTGCAAAAAGTGAGAAGAAACATTTCCCATCATAAAACAAACATGATTCTGAAAACTGTTTTGGTACATGTAGGATCATTAAATTGCCATCTAACATAGATCATCACCATAATATTCCAAATAACTTTTGACACAAATATCAAAGGACAGTTTATAATCTTCATTACCAGTTTCTCTTAAATTTTGGCACAGGAATATATCATGTTATGTAAGCCACCAAAATGCTAAAGCTACTAATCCAAAACATACACATCTCTGAATACTCTGAACGCTAAACCTATCGGATGCTCTTCCTCAAACTGAAGACTTACCCTAAAAGTCTCAAAGTAGTCAAGCGTAGAAATAAGGACCAGGCACTTAGGGGCATACATAATGGAGTGGTGGGTGATGAGAGGCACAGGGGGGCCCACACCACGCACTCCCCCACTACCCAAATCCACGCTGTCATCCTCCTGAAATGATAACTACTGCATTAGAAAAGTCTTCCTTGACAGCCACTATACTTTTATTCATCATTAATAGTAATAATAAGTCATCAATATTTTCAAGTTTCTCCAGAAATTTTCTATCATACTTACTTTTTGCTAGATGCAATTCTAGAGCATATCTTTCAATCACCAATAAATTCAGACTTGTAATCTATAAAAAAAAAGAAAAGAAAAAGAAAAAGAAAAGAAAAAAAAAAAAAAAAATCCATCTTACTTCATCAGTTGGTTTGCTGGGTGTGATAGAGACTGCCTCATTAAAACAAAGAACTGCACAGTAGTGTCGTTTTGCATCAATATCTGTCAGCACCGATACAAAGAATTTTGGCTCTTGCCGTTCTGTCGACAGTGCCCACCCTTGTGGTTGACAGAACTGAAAGAAAGAGCCAGCATAAGAAAAGAAACACAATTTCCTTTTCCTATCTATTACAGGGATTCCTATCCTATTTGGGATTGTATAACCTTGGGCGTCTTGTACTCCTAGAAAAGATGGAAAGAGAAAAAGAACAGAAAAAAGAGAAAAAGAAAGAAAGAAAAAAAAATATATATTCCATTTTATTCTTCCTTTTCTTACATCACTCCCTGATGTGTAAAAGCAGGTACTATAACAGTGTATTAAGCAAATGCAGTTAACCTGAGTAATAACAAAGTGTTATGCACAGAGAGTGGCACAATACTTCAACAGAGAGTAGAAAAACATATGATACAATGAAGGTTACCTATGAAGGGTAGGCCAATCAAATTACATGTTATTTTGGGAGACATATGTACCCACTGAACACTGCAAATGTACCACTGGTAGATCATACATCACAGACTGGGAACCCCTGATCTATCATAACTTGAAATAAGGTAAATGACTATAAAACTATAGAAAATATATATGCAAATATATCATACAACCAGAACAAAACACTATATAATAAAGTAACACATTCCCAGAAATATCCTACATATACTATATATTATAACAAATACCCAGGTAACACATCTGTTCACTTGGACTCACCAGCTCCAGGCTCTCAATAAATGGAGTGTCCGGCCAGTCCCTTTCAGGGAACCGCTGAATGATTTTACCGCTACCAATGCCATTTC